GGGTATATAGTTGGAATGAATTGTATACCAAAATGGTATATTTGTATACTATTTGAGTATACAATACAAATTCGTCTTCTTCTCTTGTTCAACTATATTTCAACCCAAACTTCTAAAATCTACTACAAAATCTCCACCAAATTGACTAAAACTTTAGCTACAACCTCCAATCAACTTTCCAAACAAACCCATATAGATCGGATCAAAATAATTAAAAACTCAAACAAACCAAGTTATGAGTTTCAAGCTTCAAGGTCCTTCAATGGTGGATTTAAATTTTTGTACAATAAATCTCCGAAAACCAGTTTGGATGAAGAGAAAGAAGAAGGTATTCAATAGTCAAAATATCAAGTGCCTATGTTTATTAGCTAATAGGGTATTCAATAGTCAAAATAGGGTTTGAGAGTAATAATCTCCACAGGAGGAGATTCGGAACTCTCCACCAAGTTTGTTAATCAATCAGCCAAACCCGAATGAGTCACTCATGCCAGTTCGAGGAGTTGATGAACTTCCAAAGCCACCAGTCGCAAACAGACGTAAGATTATTGGGAAATAACCGGGTAAATAGTTTGGGAAGCATGGGTATGAGTAATAAATAGTTTGGGCATGAGTATTAAAGAGTAAATAGTTTGGAATTAATGAGTATAAAGTGAGATTTTCTCTAATAATTAGGGCGCAATACTTGTTTATGGTGCTTTTGGACACAAATGCTAATGGATTAGCACTTGAATTTACTCTCGTTCCAAAGTTATATCCACTAGATTTGCAACTTGCCATTTGTAGGTGGTGTTATGTCGTTATCCAGTTTCTTACTTTCTTTTACTCCTACTATAAGTTCGAAAACTACAAGTCAAGATGGTCTGGTCCCATGAAAAGAGCATTAATCTACTTTTAACGCATAATAATTGCTGTTTTCCTAAGTCCCATGATAATTGCTGTTTTTGTTCTCTTCCTTCAAATAACAAACCAAAATTTTGTGATGTATCCTGTAGGTTGTAAACATGATACTTGAGATTTAGGAGGTAGGTTCTCAATAATAAACGAAGAACAATAAAAATAATCCATAATAATCGAATAAAAGATGAGCCCAACAAGCAAGTTTGTTGTAAGGTCTGCGTACACACTATTCTCCCCAAACTCCATTTATGGAATCAAACTGAGTTTGTTGTTGTTTGTTGTTGTTGTAGTATTCTGACTTTTGTGCACATAAACAAAGGACATTTATCTATGAGTTTATTAATTGATGTTGTAACTGTAAATAAGAGTGAAACGAAAAACTACTAGGAGTAGTTTGCAGCTGTTAGTGTCTACACTTGTTTTTTTTTTCTCCTTCAAATCACAAATTAAACTAACAGCTTGTTTGGATGTTTGTTTCCCATTCTATCTATTGTATTGTTATCCCAATGTTTGTTTTGATTGTTTAGTTAAAATTGATTGTATTGTATTGTTAAATCTATTATTCTGGAACAATGAAGAGTCCCATTTTTTGAAACAACCGATTTGATGTTGTGGGATTGTTTCCTATTTTTCTTTCCAATTATGCACTATCTTATTACTTTATAATTCTATCTTACCCTTTATTTTCTTTATTTTATTTTAATCCAAATCTCCTAACCTATAACCTACGTCATACGGTAGCATGGTCTTCTATTTATCGGATAATTCTCCACCTGCGGTTATTAGCTCCGCGAGACTTCTATATTTTTTTGCTCCCGTTAATGCGTCTAGAGTGCTACTCCCTCCGGTCCACAATAATTGACCAATTTGCTTTTTTATTTTGGTCCAAAATAAGAGTCCATTTATATAACCAAGAAACAATTCAATTTGTTTTTTTCAAAATTACCCTTATATACGTATTCCTAAAAAGTCATTTACTCCTTACATTGACTATACTACAACATTCAATTAAGGGTAGTTTAGACATACTAACTACTTTTGTCTAGAATTTAGTATTTCCTTAATGGGTGTGCCCAAAGTAAATTGGTCACTTATTGTGGACCGGAGGGAGTAAAAGAAATAAATATAGTTCAAAAGAAGGTGATGAGACTTGTTAAGTCATCAAATGAACTTCTTAAAAATGAATCTTTTCTCATTGGGAGTTGGCTGTTTCATTCATTTTGTCCTTCTTCCGCTTTCAACTCCAACGTCAAGTATAGGTTTTGCCTTCTTTTTGTTTTGTTCTTTCTTCTACTTTGATTATTAACTACGATTTTAATTACTTTATCTCCACTTAGCTGTATAATATTGATTTTTAATTCCAATTCTAATTACTTAATGTGTAATTCTTGATAATACAATTGAGGGTATTTTAGTAAACTTGTCAGTTACAGTACAATATGATACAGTCAAACCAAACATCAAAGTGTTATTTGACAATAGCGAACAATACAATCTGTCCAAATATTATATTCATAAAACGTTACAATACAATACCATACAATACGATACGTTAAACGATGGGTAACAATAATCCAAATAGAGTGTAATTTTTTTTAAACGTTAATTCTTGAAATTTAGGAGATAGGTTTTCAATAATAAATGAATTAAGATAATCCATAAAAATAGAATAAAAGATGAGCACAAATACCCAGGGGCCTTCTTTTTTGTAGCTTCCATATTTTTCAGAAACCACTATGTTTTAGTAATTATTAGCTTGTTATATCTATCATTTACTAAATTACTTTCTATAACTATATTTTTAGTTGTTATAGATTGTATTCGATGTATTTTGCTACTGTATTCATGAATACAATAGCAAAACTCGGCGGAAAACAGGGGAGTCCAGCTAAGCAGAAATGTATTCGACTGTATTCGCGAGCTGTATTCGTGAATACATTAATGGAATTTGCGAAAAAAGGGGTATTCAGCTGTTTAAAAACAGAAAGTGAATCAATTAACGCAATAGACTCCTAATATAATTCAACAAACTCAATTATAACACACAAAATTTGTATTTTCAGTTATAGAAAAGATTCTCAACCGAAAAACACCCCAAAACAGAGCAATCTTCAGAGATTCAATCCATCCTTTCTTTTTTAGTGGAATCTTTACTAAAATATTTTTTAGTGGTAACTTTATAAATAGATTTATATATTGAAATTATATAATTACATTGAATACAGTTAAATACATAAAAATACATTGAATTCATGAAGTATAGCAGGTCATGAGTAGTGCAAAAATATATGAATACATACTGCAGATACATTTGAATACATATATAGATCTGAATATAGAAATTACATTAATTAAGAAAAACATATGAATACATTCATAAAATACAGCGAGACAGTGAATACAATGAAATACATGGAATATAGCGAGATACATTGAAATACAATGAAAAAAAAGATAGTGAATACAATGAAATACATGGAATACAGCGAGATACATTGAAATACAATGAAAAAAAAAGTAACAGACTCTTCAAGTTCCTCAGCCCCAAACTCCGTCCCCAATCCACCGATATCCAGGCCGCCGCCGGTTAAATGAAGACAGTTGTTGAAGAAGCACCAATTTAAAGGATCAAACGGAAACTAGAGACATAACTTCTTCATATCTCATAAGGCAAACATGAACAATCAATGCAAAATCTAAGAAAAATTTAGAATGTGTACCACAACTGTGTGAAAGAAATCGCCAGCCGGAGGAGGGGGTTAGGGGTGACACACAAGGAAGGGGGAAGTGGTCGCCCGCCTGATCTGTCGTTGGCGGAACACAACCCTGCTAGGGTTTCTAAAAGCAGGGGAGAAAAAAACCGGGGAAAAAGAGAAGGAAGAGGAAAGAGAAAGGAGGAGAGAGGGAGAGAGAAAAATAATACATAGCGTATTTAATGGCTTAAAGGTAGGAAGTGACCATAAATAGATATTTTGTTATAAAACTAAAAGGTAGCTTTTTTAAAAGGAGAGAGGGAGAGAGAAAAATAGTACACAACGTATTTAATGGCTTAAAGGTAGGAAGTGATCATAAATAGATATTTTGCTATCAAGGAGGTAAGCTCTCCATATACATTACTTTTATCCGTATAATTGATGAACCCATTATTAGATCAAAGAAAAAAAGGAAAAACAAATGATATTGTGATAGGTGAAAGAGGTCCTCAGGCCATCTCCAACCTTGCCCCCATTTTTTGTCCCCAAAATGGGGATCTTCCCATTTTGGGGACAACTTACTCCAACCATTCCCCCATTTTTTCTCCAAACTTTTTTATATTCTTCTCTCTCTTCTATATTATATTATTATCTTTTATTTCAATTTTATTTTTTAATTTCCATTAAAAAATTCCATCTTTTATTTTTATTAATTTGTAATTTCCATAATTAAAACAATTCCATAAAATTTTAAATAATATAATTTGTAAGCAATTATTATAGGTTAACTAATAATTCAAATAAAAGTGAAACTATTGCAATACAAGATTACTAATATCATTGCGATATTTTAATTTAATGTATTTTCAATTGTCATGCATTTCCAATTTTAATGTATTTTCATTTAATGTATTTTCAATTTTCACTTTTCAATTTTAGCAACATATAATATTTTATATTCGCACCTTTCAATTTTAACAACATCTAATATTTTATATTTGCACCATTCATCTTTTGAGATAATTATATATTTTTTGTATAATTAACTTATAATTTTACATAAAAATAATAAATGCACGATAATTAATTTATCAAAATTATACACCAAAGTTAAGATATAATATTAATATTATAAAGATATTACATAAACATAATTAGATATATATAAAGAGATAAATTAAAAGATTAAACAATAAAATAATAATAAAAAATTGATGAATAGTAACGGGGAGATGAATACTATTCATGAGACAAAAATGGGGGAGGGTTGGAGTAAAATTGAATTTGTTCTTCCTTGTCACATTCTTTTGAGTACATTATTGCCGTCACTATCACTCCATTCCCAGCAAATTCCCATCACACACACAGCTTACAGCTAATTCATATATATGCACATTGTGAGTTGACAGCCCACCAAATAGTGTCAAAATTTCCATCTCATCTTTCTCTTTCTATAACACACTACTTCTTCTCCCGACAATGTCTTAACTCTTATGCAGCAGAGTGCTGACACTGACAACAAATACCCACTTCTTTATTACTTTCTTCATTTTGCCTCGTACTTCCCACTTTACTCACTCTCAAGATTCTTTCTTCTTCTTCTTTCCTTTTACTACTTCTCTACCACTTATAATTAACTATGTTACAGAAAGAGACAAATGTAGTCTTTTCTTAACTCGAATTTACTGTCACTATAAACCACCTACTCTAAATCTTGAATCTCTTTTTGTTATACAACTTCCAAGAATTGATACCAAACAACCCCTTTACATTTTTTTTTTTTGCTTTCTTCTTTCTAATATTTTCTTTCAATTTGAGATCTGGGAACTTTAGTTTTGATCAATGGAGGGTGCTGACATGAATAAGCCTGAGCAGGTGTTCAATTCTTTAGAGCCAGAATTCTCTGTTTCATCACCAGTGACTCGTCAAAAATCAGCTGCTGCTAAACAGATTATTGAGAATCATTACAAGAACTATCTTCAAGGCTTACAAGATCGCTTAGAAAGGTTCTTGTTTTTTTCTTTACTTGCCTGCATTTACACAATATCGTACTGTAGTTTATTTGTGTTGACATGGGGTTTGTTGTAATTTTTTTTCAGGCGAAGAACGTTGCAGAGGAAGGCGCAAGAAGCACAGATACCGGATGATGAGCAAGAGAAGATGCTGAGGAATTTGGAAAGGAGGGAGACTGAGTACATGAGATTGCAGAGGCATAAAGTTGGAATTGATGACTTTGAATTGTTGACTGTCATTGGTAAAGGCGCATTTGGTGAGGTACATTGTCTTTCTCACAACTCTATTTCACATAATGGTTTTCTATAATTCATGATGTAATTTTACTTAAGAAGATGGTCGGATGGTAATCGTATTAGATGCATAATAGAGCAGAATAGATATAGAGGATTCATACAGCCGACCCTAATTAGTTGGGAATTGGGGCATAGCTCATTGGTTGATTGATTTAGTAATTTACAGCTGATTAGATGCATGGATCAACAAATCAAATGACCCTGTTCGATTGGAGTAACTTAAAGTATGTCTTTGTGTTTCCTATTAAGTGATTATTCAGGCTAAAGTTTGTACCATTGCAAGTAATTAAACATCAAAAACAAAAATTATCTAGGCTGAGCAACTTATGCTAGCCAAAACTTGTTACTTTGGACTAGTCGCGAGCAAAGAGATGTGTAACTTATTCATATAGACAGATATAGAAGATCTTAATTGGCATATCGTCCCAAGCTGATCATCTCTATTGAGGAAGTTTAATTGATTAAACACAATGATAGATTAAGAGAGATCAGTTTACTGGTAAACTGAGCATCTCTGGAGAAATATCTGCACACCATAGTTCTCGTGATGCTGTTTTAAGACTTTCGCTCTGACATGGCAGTGGAGAAGCAAACACGCATCTCCTGCTCGTACTGGTTGTTTCCACAATGTTTTCTGATGATATCAAATGGGATATCCGCTCGGATACCTGATAGCTTTTTTATCTGATCTTTAAAACTGCATCAACTCCCTTTTTTCCCCATGTGAATAGTGGTTGGGCAAGAGTCTCTTTTGTGTTCTCCTTTGTTCTAAGATTTATGTTTTTTTCCCTTGTAATGTTTGTCAAGAAGGAGGAGCTCATTAATTGAGCATAAGCTATATGCCAGACATACGAGATCCACGCTTATCCTGAATGTGAACTTAAATTTCTTCAAACTCTACTTTCAGTTAGAGCTCTATTGCCTTAGCATATTAAGACATAAAATTACGCAATGTTGAAATGTGGACACAGATAAAACAGATTTTACATGAAATGATTTTCTTACATGATCTGATTACTTAATGCAGGTTAGACTATGTCGATCCAAAAGTACTGGTGAAGTATTTGCCATGAAGAAATTGAAGAAATCAGAGATGCTTAGCCGGGGGCAGGTGAGAGATTGATGGTATTAGGAAAAAATGTTCTTATCGAAAGTTTATATAAGACTATTTGCAGAATCTGGCTGTAGAATTTACTAATCATCATGCTTCTTGTATGGCAGTAACGCTACATATTAGTTAGTTAGAGGAGCATAGTTAGGGTACATAAGGATATAATCTTCTAATAGATCCGTTTGAAAACATCACTAAATATCATAGTGTAGAAGCTAAAAAAGGGCAGCCCGGTGCACAAAGCATCCCGCGTTCACGCAGGGTCTAGGGGAGGGCCGCACCCGAAGGGGGTGTAATGTAGGCAGCCTACCCTGATTCCACGGCTTGAACCTGTGACCTATAAGTCACATGGAGACAACTTGACCGTTGCTCCAAGGCTCCCCTTCAAAATTAAATTGCACACATGGAGTAGGCTTAACTTATTGCAAATTTTTAAGACTAGACTAATCAATAGCAGAAACGAAATTAAATTAACAACATTTGACCACAGATTTAGGAACATAGAGAGTGAGGTGCCCAAATTGGCATAAGTCTTCTCCTTCTCATACCATTTTAGTGTAAGTGAACTAAAGAGTACAATATTAAGCTACAGATTTAGGTTTATGAATATCGTGTGTGCAATTGCAATAATCTATTTACAAATTCTATGGTTAATTCCATGTCTACAATTATAATATTCAAGTATGCTGATATAAATAAACTTCATGTGGTTATTTTAGGTTGAGCATGTCAGATCTGAGAGGAATTTGCTAGTAGAGGTTGATAGTCGGTGCATAGTGAAACTCTTCTATTCTTTCCAAGATTCAGATTTCTTGTACCTTATCATGGAATATTTACCTGGTGGTGACATTATGACCTTACTAATGAGAGAAGATATTCTTTCTGAAGATGTCGCACGGTTCTATATGGCAGAAAGTATTTTAGCAATTCATTCTATTCATCAGCACAATTATGTGCACAGGTATCTGAACAATGCATCAATTGGCTTTTTCTGCAGTCTTGCATGTTACATTTCGATTCACCATATTATATAAAAGTATCCGCAAATACATGCATCTATATTAGCATTAGTAAGCGAGAGAACAAACTTGCCTGTTTCCATGCTTTCTGTTGGTAAAGAATTTTCTGTTATTATGGAGTATCATGGAAGTGAAAATTTCTCTTACTATCCATTTAGAAAACATTTATCTGTTTACCACAAGTTCCTCTCGAGCCCCTTTGTCCCCCCCCCCCCCCC